CAAGTCCCATTCCCTGTCCAGCAAGCCAGCTTCGTTCCTGCACGGGGCATGGGATTTCCCTCCATGTGCTGACCTTCCCGCATGATTTGTTGGCTGGCTGCAAAGAAGAGCTAGAATAGTTTATTCCTCTTCCACCTTTCCACTCACTTGTGCAGGGTCCAATGCACTCAGCTGCAGGGAACCCCTGCTCACCTGAGGCAATCGGGCAGATTCCTGCCCTATGAAGAGAAGTCCTCTGTGCAAACGCCAAGGATGAATGATTGTCGCAAGCTTCATGGGCACTGTTTTTGTCTCTTAAACTGCAGCTCACCTGCTGTTCGTGGTGTAGGAGAAGGCAGAGAACCTCTTTCTGCCTCATGGCCAAATTCCCCCTTCCGACTCAGCAATCTGCACATCTTGCGTCTGGCAGCTTTTCTTGGAGGTCCAGATTGGCTTACCGTCAAAGGGCGCGAATTTCTGAGGTCCATCTCTGTGTCAGCAATCCATTTAGTGTCGCTTCTTTCCTCCACTCTTCCTCCTTTGCTCAAGGGTGAATGTCTCCGGAGATCTGGAGTCCAGCCTTGGCCTTTTTTATTTGAATGTCCTCATGGTTTATCACCAAGCCTCACATGAGAAACCTCCACTCTTAATAACGGCTTCAGTTCAATTCAGCAGAGAGAGAAAGTCATCCAACCTCCATTGCTCTCCTCAAGCAGCCCATTCCTAGAGAAAGAAGTCTACCGATTAGATATAGTTTAGCACAGACATTCCTTCTTCCTCAGGTGATGATACTCTCAAGAACAGAGAACAGACGCAAAACAGCAAAGATGGGTCCTTTGTACAACATAACCTTGAATGGTGTTTCCCTTTGTGTTGGAAGTTTATTTATTTATTAAAACATTTCTATGCTGCCCCATTCGCCGAAGCCTCGGGGCGGCTCACAACATAAAATTAAAATACTAGAAATAACAAAATAAAATAAGTCGCCCTGGTTCCAGAGCAAGTTCTAGAGCAAGTGTGGAAAGCCCATGCCTAGAGGCCAAATCCAGTCTTCCTGGAGTTTCCAGGTGCCCAAGTGCCCTTCCCATGGCCTTACCCTTTTCCCTAACAAGCAATCATTGAGTAGTTTCCCCTCATTCCAAGCAGCCGAAATGCCTCTCCGAAGCTTAGTCCTTGGTGAGGCAAGCTTTAGTAGATGCTGATAGAATGGCCCCATCCCTTCTGCTTTCAGGACCACCACCACTGGAATGCAGACCCCCAAGAGCTGCTCTAAAATGTCTGAAATAGGTCTGACATGGTGTTCTGGCCCAAAATTCATGTGTGGTGCTTGCCCCTGGAGATGCGTAGGGCTTATGTGAAAAGAGTCCTGAGTACAAAAGCAGGAGGAAATGCTGCCTCCCAGGCAGGTGGGGCCAAGTTCATTTCTTTATCATCCTGAGTTTTGGCATATTAAAAGACAAGCATGTTCAGTATGTTCTGGTAGTAGTGGTGGTTTCATTCTGTTAGAAGCATGATCCAGTTGTCTCTGCTTAGTCCATAGGTGCTACCTATAACCTGTATTTACAGCAGACTTATGGTTGTGGTTTTGTTTGACTCTGTAAAATCTTTCAATTTCTGGATTCTGTCTTCTTTACTCAACCACTTCTAAGAATGAATAATTTCTCGGTCTTTCACTTGATGCAATATCTGTGTTGGAACGAATGCCTCAAATAATAATGATTATGTTGGTGGTGGTAAGCATCATGATAACAGCTACTCAGAAAGTGTCTCGGTATTTGTCCTTTTCAGACAGATCTGACCCAGGACATGTGCCGGAAGGCTGTCTTGCCAAACACAGCCATGCCTCCTTCTAGAGGGCCGCAACTTGCTTCCCAGTAGGATCTGCACATTCTTTCGAATGCTAGCTTAAGATTTTTTCCAGACCTTGTAGTTAACCCGATTCCACAGTGGTGGTGATAATGCCATTGCCAAGCCGCATCCAGAGCATGCGCTGCCCAGTAATCTCTTCTGCAGCAGGGCTGCAGTGTTGATCTTGCAACCTTTGCTTCAGTCACAGCTTCAGGGCTACTTCAGTGCATCTCCCAAAGGCAGATTCTTGAAAGCACTTCTCTCTCCCAGTTGGTTCACCATGACTCATTTACCAGTACGCCTTAAGTGGCCTTTGTAAGATTCAGGCTTCAGGAGGCACAATCAAGCATGTGGGATGCTTTCTTTGTTGCAATCAATAAATGTGTGTGTGCATCTATAGCTATAGATGAGGCTGTAATGTATAGGCTTCAGCATGACACCTCGCGGGTAATAAATGCTTGAGAAATTGCATCAGGAGAACAGAGTAATCATTCGGTTTTGAAACAAGAAGGCTGCCATCTGCTGGACATATCAGAGCAAGGCGCTCCGGGTTTGCTCCCAGTTCTAACTGGGTTTAGTTTTGAGGCATTAAACTCTGTATACAGGGCTGGCGAAAGGCATTTTGCTGCCTGGGGTAGAGGGCAAGATGGCTTCCTCCCTGTTCCATATAAACGAGCCGGCTGCATTGAAAGTTCAACCTAAATTAAACTTGGTGGTGGGCACCATGCACCTGAGGGCATCTGCTTGGCTTAGGGGTGACAAGGTGGGCTTCCTGGTACACACAGCTTTGTCCCCTAAGACTTTGCCACCCCCCAGAAATTGCCACCTGAGATGACGTTCTCACTCTCTTTAACGGTAGGGTTGGCTCTGCCTGTACAGAATGATGGTATTTTTTCCATTGTGATTTGATGGAAAGGTTCGACCTTTTCTCCCCCTTGCTCTGCCTTGCCCTCCCGCTTTTTTCTTTCTCCCACTCGTAAAGACCATTCATCTAATGCTTTGTCTAAGCACGTCAGTGTTTCTGGCCATATGGAGCACCTGTGGGGAAAGTATTTGGCTGTACATTTGTTAGGCAGCAATGTCTTCCCACAGTATAAACACTTTGCTTCTTGGAAATGTTGCTTTCGATAATATCTTGGCCTCCTTTCCCAAGTACTGTTTATGGGTTAGGGAAGCAGAGTTTCTGCTTAATGTAAACACCTCGTGGTTCTAGATAACAAAAGATGTGACATTTAAATGTATTTATTTTTTTAATTAGCTGTTGCATGTTGTTAAAAGTAGGGGCTGAGGTAGTATCAAATGTGATGTTTTGGGGGCCTATTTTTTAAAGCCCCACCGGATGATGAAGCGGGGGAGGGGGTTTATATCCACTTTAAAGGAAAGGATTAGAAAAAGGTGAAGAGTTGTCATACTTACACAGAAAGTGTAAACCCCAAACTTGGAGAAAAATATTTAACAATGAGCATCTGGTGGGGTAAGCCAAATTTGCTTCAGGAAAACAAGAACCACAATGAATTTGGGGGCTCCTTTAAGATGCTTCAGCTTGTTAGGGCAGAGGGCAATCCTTTTCGGATCGGTTGCGTATGTGGAATTTGGAGAGAATGTCGTGGGCGCTCTCGCACAATGGCTGCCTTGGACTGTGGGGCTTGCCCACTCCTCAGATGGTTCCCAGGTGGAGGGCTCCGTCAGGAAACACCCATTTCCCAGAAGGAAAGCTAGTGGAGCGAAAAGTAAAGCAACTCACCCGAGGACAAGACAGAGGTGGAGGTCTGTGTTTTGCACAAGCTGATGAAGCTGGTTCCTCAGTCTCCCGGCTATTATTTTAATTTAAACAATCTAAAATAAAATACAAATGAGGAGGGGCAGGGGTCTGACAGGGGCAACAAGAAGTTTTGCAGGCAGCTCATGCCTCTGGACGCTGTGGTGGGGCCCCCAAGCATAAGCATCCATTGGTGAGAGCAGTGTTGTATCCGAGACTGGTAGAAGGAAGCAAGAAGGACTCTCAGGCAGGGCAATAGCTAAGAGGGGCAGGTTCTGCCACTCCTTTGCTGCTGCAAGCGTCAGGCCCAAAGGTACAAGCAGTGACAGCTCAGTTTCGAAGTGCGGCCTTGAGATGTTTCATTTTAAAACATCGCAGGCCACATCTTGTTTCTTCCTGGGCGCATTGGTGCACTCTTCAGTACAGCTCCTAGCTCAACCGCTTCACTTGGACATTGTAGCAACACCCCATATGGCAAAGCACCAGTCTGAAATGGACGGGATGCATTTTCCCTGGTTGTCTGCTATACATTATTTACAGCCATTAATAAACAACACCCGCAGCTATAAGCCAGTTGCATGAATGAGTCTTCAAATCTAAACAGATGCCGAGAATCTCTTTCACCAGGGATAATATCGCATGCCCAAAATACAGTCGTTTTCATGGTAGGGCACATCCTCTGCCCCACAACACAAAAATAGAAAAAGGAGGAAATGTATGGGGTTGCCAGACAAAACCAGTACAGACCCCTTGGTTGGTTGGTGAATGTAGCTTAAACTGTGTAATGTCCTCAAATGGTTTGAAGTCACTGAGATGAGTCATTTTCAGTGCTGGCCATAAAGAAAACAACCCAGGACACACCTGCACACAAGAACTTGTTATTTTAACCCAGTTTGACCTGCATGGCAGACAAAGCGCTGGCCCCATCTTCCACGTTTCGCCCAGCAGCTCTCAGCAGAGGGGCGTCAAGCGAGGAGAGTCCTGTGAAGTCCACAGATCCTTGCTGCCTCTCTCCATTTTGCTGCCGCCTCTGTGGACACAGGGCAGGGTCTTCTTGGGGAAGGCCCCCAGGAAGGGAGGCAGGGTGGCCGGCCCCCTTGCGCCGACCTTGGGCTGCCCAGGCAAAGGCCTTCTTATTTGGGCTGGTGCAGTGCACCATCACGGGCATCCCCCTGCTGTTGACGTGGCTGTTACCAACATTGGGTGCTGCTGCTGACGCATTTCGCTGGGGTCAGATTGCCTTTCGAATGCACTTCTTTGCATGCTAGGATTTAACTGAGAGCTGGTTGTTGATCTGGATTCAGTGGAAAGATGGGCCGTTATGTGGACCAACAGGAATTTGGCTTTTTGGGACTAGGGCCGGACGGGCTCGGGAACAGCCCCTCGTCTTAACATTTGTTCTGTTTTGTGGCAGACTCGGGGGACAGCCTCTCCCACACCACCTCCTCCCCACAGCCCTCGCCAGCTGCTTCTGCCCATGCCTTGCGGATCGTGGATCCCTCCTTCCCGCCTGATCAGACCCCGGCCGACGCGTCTGCAGCGGAGGAGACGGCAAGCGAGCCCGAATCTGTCTTCCTCACAGACTATCTCATCTTATCCAACTGTGCAACTGGAAAGCTCAGCCATGGCAGGTATTTAATACCTTAGATTCGAGTTTGGCAGTCAGACTGGGCCAACCCAGCATAAGGCTGTGGAATCTTGGAGAAGGGAGGCCCCTGGGCATGCAGAAGGGTGTCAGCCTTTAAGTGAAAACAATTCCTTAACCCACCCTCTGCCCCGACATGAACCTGGGAATTCCAGGATGTACAAGATTTGAGGAAAATAAAACGGCACATGGCTCAGGTAAGGCTTGCCATCGGCTTGCCCAAACTCCAGGCAGTGTATACTTGGAAGCTCTGCCCTTGTGCCCACGTGGGTCCCCCTTGGCCCCCATTTCATCCTCATTTAAGATGAATTGCGCTTTAACTGGGGAGGAAGTCTGCCTGCCGGAAACCCGAGCGCTGCTCCCCAGGGGCATCTTTGCGTTCAGAAGTGTGGCTTTGGCATTTTGAAGCTCAGACCCTACCTCTGCTTTACAGTTAGTTCTTGGAAAGTTTCCTTTTCTTTCTGTCTCCCCGTTTGCTCTCTGAGAACTGAGTGCTTTGTGACCAGCCATGGCCCAACATTTCCGAAGGGCCTACTAATCCTGTCCCCAGGTGGTCAGGGTGCCTGGCTTTTATTACTGAGTGAGCCCTCTGTGGATCAGTGCAGCAAAAATAGAGAGACTGACGGGGGTTTGTGCTTTCCCCCACTTTCCAGGTGCCACAGCTGGTCCAATTCCGATCGATCTCTTGAGCAGACATCTTCTGACGACATATTTGTTGACTTCATGGCTTCCCAGCCCTCACTCTACCTTCAGCCCTCCGGCACACTGCTGCAGGAGCTAACAAGTCAAGGGCTTCTTGCCAGGAATACGGACTCGAGCGGGCCTCCTTCCAGCGACTTCTCCTCTTCCTCTCCCTTGTCAGGCCCCCCTTTAACACCAACGTTCCTGGCCGACAAAAGCCAGAACTCGCTTTCCTGTGGCGTGTCTGAACGTGAGGTTCTGGCCAACACGCCGCCACCCCGGCCGCCCAAGCCAACACGTCTCTCAGACAGAAGGCCAGAAGAGCTATCCCTCGGGGCACTCCCCAATGGACATGCTGGCTTCTCCGGAGCCCATGGGGCCTTGGTGCCAAGAAGGATCTCCGTGTCCAGCTTGGACAGTATGAGGAGCTGGAGAGGTAAGGACTGGAATGGAGGGAGGCGACCCATGAAGTTTAGTGCTGAATTGGTCACCCAGAATTCGCCCAGGCATCTGAGGGCCACGTTCTTGGTCCTCTGCTCCCGACACACGCATGTTGCCTTGTGTAGGTATGTTAGCACGGATTCTCTCCGCAATGATAGAAGTAGATGCAGGGTCATTGTAATGTGAATTTCAGAGGTATCAGCTCCTTTCTCACACACGCCCAGATGCTGCCAGCTCCCAGCCGGCTCCTTGCCGGCTCGTCCAATATGGCCAGGCTTTCAGGGGTGGGAAAACACGGATGTTTAGTGGACAGGGGGCGGCTGGTTAAAATCTGTGTGGAGATCTACAAAAAGCAATAAACGTTAGCAGTGATACCAGAGAAGTTTCTCCCATGACCCGTCTTCTGGAAGTGCATGACCAGAGGAGACATTGGCTGCAAGCCTTTGCTAAGCACATGTGCATCCCCGAGGGAGAGTTTATGGCACAAGGAAGGAGTCAGTCCCAAGTTCTGCTGCACAAACTCACCAGGCGTGTCAGCTGATCTCTGAGTTACGCTTGAGCAGTGATGAATGCCGAAGTACAGGCGCTCCCATTAGCTACACCCTGCAAGGAAAGTCCAAAATTTCAGACTCCTGGGTGGATCCATATCAGCGAACCAGTTCTAGGCGTTTCTATCTCCACCAAGAGCTGGTCTTTTGCAAGGCAAGTGGGTCTTAATCAAAAAGCAAGCTGTCCCCAAATGCTTTGAACAACAGCTAGGAAAATTCCTTCCTCCCTGGCTGTGAGGATTGCACTAAACTCTGGAAGAAGAAGCCTGAGGGCATTGCAGGCAGGCTCCCTGCTAATCAGAAAGTCTCTGTAAGACCTAACTTTGGTATACCACTGGGTGGAGTATTAAATCAACAGTAGCAGCTAAGGCCTTGCAGATTTTCCTTCTTGCTTCTTAGCTTTCTGGCCGAGAACATTGCAGTGTAAATTATTTTTCAATAAATGTGTCCAGAGACATACACGAGTCAGGTGGCCTGCAACAGAATGTTGCAGCACGATGAAGTGCTTCTGCTGAGTAAGCCCTCCTTTCTCCCCCAGTAGCATTCCAAGACCATGGTGCACAGCCGTGCATCACTGGGTGATTGTGAGGCTCATCCTCACACCAGGTTCCCCACCGGCAACCCACCCTCCCAAATTCTGGGTCCTTCCACAGAACTAGAGCCCAGGACTGCAGATATGTGTGTGGACTCATTTTTCCAGAGAAGCATCAGCACCACCTGAACATCAGAATCAGAGAGAACATCAGAATCAGAGATAAATTGGCATCTCTCCAGGGCAAACTTTGTAAAAAGCTGCAGCACCTATTGTAATACAGATTTGCTGCCGAATAAAGACCGATTTTACTTCCCAGGGCTTCTAATCCATTTTCACCTTGGCTGCTTTTTTTTTTTTTTTTTTGTACTGAATACTGCTTCTAGTGATTTCTAGTGATATATTTTTGTATATTTCGATTTTTAAAGAAGGTTATTTAGACTATTTTCAGAGCGCCCCCTCCACTCAAAGATCTCTCAAAGTAGTGTCAAATAAAAAGAATGAAATACATAAAATACAAAAAGCAGAGCAGGTTTTTATGCAACGAGCCCAGGGATTAATAAGAAAAACAGAGAGCGGAATTAACAATTCAAAGTGCAGCAAAACAATGTTTCATTCACTAGCTGTCAAAATAAAGGATAATAACCACATGTAGGTTACACAAACGGCCCCTTTTGTGTGTGTTACTTTGTTTTTAGATTTTCTCAGCCACCTTGGAACTTGATTGAAGGACTGGGGTATCAATTTCTCAAAATACAATAATATTCTGCAGCCCAAATGGACTGCTGACTGGCTAGATTCCTAAGCCTAATTTTTTTCTTCTTTCAAAGCAAAGCAAAGCAAAACAAAACAAAAACCTAACACCTGTATTTCACCATTCTGCCTTAGGCAGAGGCACCCTGATCAGATAATTTCCTTAACACTCCCAGTGCTAATGAGTGTTTCTGCTAGCTCATTTATCAGTGTGCTGGACAATTCTTGGAAGCTTTTTAAGAGCAACACCCATCACTTGGCCGTGTTGTTCTTACTAGCGGCTGTGAGTTTCTTGGAGCGCCAGATTGCTGAAAGGGCGTGTGCCATTTATACATAAACACACACACACACGCACCATACCCATAAGAGTATTTCCAGATGTGACAAAACCCCCCATCTTTTATTCTTTATTCTATTTAGGATCAGCTGGTGGGTACCAGTGATGAGTTCTTGTCATTTTCTGTTCGGTGTGCCAGATACCTATGAATAAATAGCAGCTTTTTTTAGTATCTAGGTTTCGCCTAGGCACTTCTTTAGTTTAGAATTTCCATCAATGCTGGAAGCCCTTGTTGAGCCTGGTCAGGCAAAATGACTTGCACTCCTGGTTTATAAGTACTTGTTACTGGTGAATAAATATAATATAATATAAGGGGTTTAAAGCAGGAATTGAATAGCGAATGACATCATATCATTCTGCCAGAGTAGTGGATCTCTCTGCTCTGGCATCTGTATCTGTCACATCTATGGATCTTAGACTGTCTTTGTTTCATGTCCATTGGACATTTCAGTTGCCTTTTTAATAGGAAATTATCTAATTTGTCTAATTGCAGAGGCAGCTGATGCGTCTTTTAAATATGCTTTGATAATGTCCAGTAACTGCTTTTTCTTGAAAGGAGGTTATTGTATGGATAAACTTTGTACTGGAACAAACTTTAGTATTTACTGAAGTAGATGCTTTTTTAAATTATTCCCCTTCTTCTTTGAAATAAATGAAAGGTGTTTTGCCAGTGGCAGTAGTTCTTTTTTGGAGCCCGAGAGAATATGCATACCTGTGGGTAGACACTCGGGAGCTTTTTTAGCAGATGATAGAAAAGAGAATGCGTAGACAAGATGGATACAGAGTACAATACTTGCTGCACTCAAGAACCATTCAACCAATTGACAGCAGACAGACTCCCGGTAGTTCGGTCTGCGCTGAGGTTCTGTGCTTAGGAAGATTCCTGAACTTTGTATAGGTATATGTGCGTTTCCCCTAACCATTCCTGCTCCCATTGAAATTAGCATTTTGCACATAAGTAATTGGGGAAGACTCTTCAGAGAGAACTACATATATGTGTCGGACATTCCCAAATCAAGCAGCTGGCCTTGGCCAGGCCCATCTGGAAACTTCGGCTATGGGGCAGTGTAGAAGTGAAATTAATAGTAACAGCACTTCCAAGTTGACCAAATACTGCTCAGAACCGCCTACTTCCCAGGTCATGTCTAGTTCGTACTCAACCAGACAATGAGTAACAGCTCTCTAGGTAACTAAATTATCATCAAGTGACCTTTCCAGGTCTTGACTGACATTTAGATTGCACACAAGACTATCTAAAAATTAATGAACAAGATTCGCATAGGAAACTCCAAATATCAGGAACTCATAGGTACTAGATAACAAATCCAGGCTGCGATGGAGAGGAATGAAGAACAAGTGTGGCTGTATGAAGGAGGCCCAGACACGAGGGCAGAATGCCCCATGCATGGACTCCTTGTGATCATAACCATCTGCTGTCCTTTTCCTCTAGCGCACCTCTTGGCATCCAAAAGGGTAAATGTTCACTTCTGATAGCGCAGTGGATTTTGGACCTTAGAATGGTTTCCACATTTGAATGCTTGGCAGGCTCACTTTCAAATGGATGCTCATTTCGACATCTGGTCCAATGTTGTTGAAGCTTGCATTTAATTGTTGGTATGTTGTATTTACTGGTGCATTTCATGTATATTCACTGCTGTGGGTATATATAGATGCGTTTAAAAAGGCTCAAGGAAAAAGTAAGGGCTCAGAGGTACTTTCCATATATTTTGACTACAATTCCCATAAGCTCCAGCCAGTCTGGCAAATGGTAAGGGAGTTGTAGTCCAAACATCTGGGGGGCACCAGGTTACCAACCTCTGTGTCTTCTGCGGAGCAGAATGGAAAGATGCGACTGCTTGACACACATTTAAACAAATGTTTGTTCAGTCTCTTAAGTTCAGCAAAACTCAAATTTCGAATTCAAATAATTCAGTTTCGAATTTTATCCTCACAGCCCTTGGTCTTTTTGTTTTATTGGTTCCTTAAATCACTATGAATTGTCTCCTCATTCGCACTTTGTTTGCTTTTGCAGTTGATATGGAAGAAAACTCCTTGAGACACAGGGATAAGAGGCTCAGCCTGAATTTGGTAAGGGTTCTTTTGCCTTGTTCTGACTCACCCCGCCCCCTCTGCGAGCCCTTAATTTAGCACCATTTTAGCAGGGTGCATTAAAAAAATCCCATGCGTGGCGACAGATCAGGACTAAAAATGAAATAAACGTGTCCCAACACAGCAACAGCCTGTACTTTTCTTTGCTGCTGCTGGTGTGAGCATTGGCTTCGTGACCTGGGTGGCCCTTGGGTGGCTTGAACGAATCCCAGGCAAGGCAGGGAAGGGGATCCCAGATGCCTGAAAAGTTGGGCGGAAGGCTTGCCACGCACCTTGCATCTGAAACCCTCCTTGTCCTTTTCTTCCTTGTTTCGGAAGCCATGTCGATTTAGCCCGCTCTACTCCTGCACAAGCAGTTCCAAGGACAGTTACGTGCCCATGCGCCCCAGCGCCTCCCCGCCCATCTCCGGATCGTCCGACTGCACCGCTGACGGCTACATTCCCATGAGTCCAGGCTCAACGGCCTTCACCCTCGCTGCAGCCAGCACCGAAAAGCTCTGCAGCCCACTGCCTGAGCTCCCGACCGACCTGGAACCGCCCCCAGTGAACCGGGAGCTGAAGCCCCGGCGCAAATGTGAGCCAGTCCTTCCCTTCTCCGCAGATCTGGGGGAGCTTTGTGAGCTGGCCGGGTTGACGCCCAGCAAGAGGGGACCGAGCTCGGTGCACAAATGGGAGAAAGAGGTTTGACTTGTGGAACAGTTCTAGACCTGTTTCCAGCACTGGGGACCACTGGTATAGTGGCGAGTTTGGAAGTACCCCCCCCTTCCATCCATCCATCCGCATATTTATATGCTGCCTAGAATGGCCAAAATGGCCTCCCTAGGCAGCTCACAGAATAAAAACATGCAACATTAAAAAACAACACAAAAAGCAATATTAAAAAGTTCAACAGTACAGAGGGCTTAGTTGTTGTTTTTTTAAGGTGCATCTTTGCCTGATGCTGAAAAGAAAACAAAGACAGTGCCGGGCAAATTCTCCTAGGGAGGGAGTTACCGGGGGGAGGGGGGAGCAGCAACAGAAAAGCCCCTTCACCTATTTGCCCCCACTCATTTCCCTGAGGGATGGTCCTCGCAGAAGGGCCTCCTGGGCTGATCTTGAGGGAGATGAGAAGGGAAATAAGACATTCCCCCTTCCTGCTTGGAATAACCAAATATCCATAAAGGAATTCCCGATGCATGGCCTGCTCTACCTCCATAAGGAGTTTTATTTCTCTCTCTTCCTTTGCAAATCTTCAGTCCGACCACCTCCTCTGGACCTGCGAAACCTTTCCACCATCCGAGAACATGCTGCCTTAACCAGGACGTGGACCGTGCCTTAGTAAGTGGATGGGAGTCTCGCTTGAGAAAAGCTTAGAGGCTGAGTTGGCAGACCCGGATTTTTCTAAGGGTTCCCAGCCTGCTGCAGCCACAAACAGGCATGAACTAAGGTCCAAGAGCATACAGATCAGTCTTGCTCTGAAGGTGGGTTGGTTTAAACCAGGCTTTGACAGCTGGGAGTCCTCCGGGTATCGTCAGCCCCAGTCAGCTTGGCCAATGGTCAGAAACATAGAAACAGAGTGAGTCAGAAGGGGCCTCCCGGGCCATCTAGTCTGACCCCTGGCTCCAGCCGGCTCTGCTCACGACATGCCCACCCTGTGCACGTCCAGCCTGTCCTTGAACACCCGCACCGATGGGGCCTCAACAACCTGGAGGTTGTAGTTTAGCATATCTGGAGGGCACTGAGTCCAGGAAGGTCGACTGAAGCAGATGAGATGCTTAAATTGCCAAGGAAAGGGAGTCGCTTTGAATCATTTTTCCAGCTTCTAGAACAGAAGAAACTTGAATATTTCCTTTCTTGTTGCCACAAAAGAGACGTAAGTGTAAGAAGGCATCCAGACACAGTCCTACTTAGACCCATCCAAATCAAACTAGTCAGTAGATCTCTAAGGAAGGGATGGGCAGAAGGTGGATCCCCAGGTGGAAAGCTGCATTTTGCAGTGGGTCTACTTTAACTATAATAAATCTGGATTCATTGTGGCATATGCATTGTGACAACTATAACAGAAGAGTTATATATTTTCCCCCTGGTTTATTAAAATAGTCTGGTTTTTATGTAGCAGAGCAAACAGATATGTTTGATAGAAGGTCATGGTTTCAGTTATTAAGAGCTTATGAGTGTGAAATTTAATCTTTTTATTTTTATAATTATGACAGAATATGTTTCTATTCTTTGCATTCAGGTGTCCTTTTTCACCTTAAAGCTTAATATAACTTTTAAAATCCTGTTTAGATTTTACAAGTATATCTATCTATTTATCATATTTGTAATCTGCCCAGTAACAATGTTCTCCAATCTTCCAATTAGATTATACTAAAATAATAAAAGCACCCAGTAAATAGCAAGCAATAACAAGAACCAGCACATAAAATAAAAATACAATCCACAGTATCATTACAATATATATGAGAACCAGTGTGGTGTAGTGGTTAAGAGCATGGGACTGGGACTCAGGTGATCCGGGTTCGAGTCCCTGCTCGGCCATGGAGCCAACCGGGTAACTTTGGGCCAGTCACAGACTCTCAGCCCAACCTACCTCACAGGGTTGTTGTTGTGGGGATAAGATGGTGGAGGAGAATGATGTAAGCTGCCTTGAGCCCTTTGTAGGAAAAAGGCAGGATATAAATTGAAAAATAAATAAATTTTAAAAAATCTATCCTTGCTTTGCTCTGAATATTTGCACTTTCTGTGTTTTCTGTTGAGGATAACAAGAAATTAAATGTTGCCAGATAGTGTCATTTCAGACTTTGAAAACTGTTAACTCTATGGATACAGAAGGAAAGAGTAGCCATAACAGAAGTTATTTGATGAGCCTCTCCTTCCTCCCCTTTTCCTCGAGATCTTCATCCATAAATTGTTCCTCTCATGGATCCAACTTCTTTTAGCTATCACAACAGTTCTTTGCAATGTTAGCATTTCTAAGGGGACATCAGATATCATTTTTCTCATTCCACAAGAAGGCGTCTGTAAACAACATCTTTAAACAAACTTTCCCTACAAATTCCATGAAATCCAGCAATCTCCCCCCCCCGCCCCCCGCCCCCTCTGTTTGCTGCCTCCAAAATTAAGTGGGCTTCTTTTAAAGACAAGAAGCTAGCATATCTTTTTTTCCTGCCCGATCAGCCTTCCCCAGCTTGGAATCGTTCCAGTATGTTGGAACACAATTCCTATCATCCCTAGTGGATTTTTTACCTGCAGAAGAAAACATGCAGGGCCTCGTGAAATTTGCTTCGTCACCTTAGGGAAAGATACAGCCTCTGAAGATCAATTTGGGGCAGACAGAAGACGAGGGGGAAAGACAAGAACCCATTATTAGTATCCCGCTGCTGTTGATCCTCTTCTTATACCGGCACCTTTTCTCATCAGCTTTTTAATCTCCAGAAAAGCATATATCAACGTTTCCACCCTTTCCCATGGAACTGGCTGGGAATGACAAATCCCACGCATTTTGTCAGGTGCCAAGTTGTAAAAAGCAGCTGGAGTGCCCGGTATTCTTCAGCCACTGAGTTTTTTCTGCCTGTTCTTGCATAGGATCGCACCCCCAGAATTGTGAGGACTGAGGCTTCCTCCAGGAAGCAGCAGGTCACCTGCTGCCAAAGCTCCTTGGACCGCTGGGGAGCCGACTTACAACCGTTTTCCAGGAAAACACTTCCTTGTACCTCCTGCATTTTCTTGTTTTTCGGGGCCAGGCCCAATCCTGGAATTCTGGAGGCAGCGCTGATGAGGACAGACTTGTTCAAAGGGGGGGGGGGCACTTATGAGTTAACACCAAAAAGGGATGTGCAAAGATCAGACATGCTCATGGACAGATGGACGGACGGACGGGAAAGTTAAAAATAATTGTTATACAGAAACAGGAATTTATTTTATTCCACTTGAATCTACTGGAATAGTGTGAAATGACGCAATGTATTCTTCTCTTCTGTCCGGTTAGGCCTAATGGGTTAGAAATGATTACATAGCAATACTGTGCGTTTCACCATCGCTGTGGACCTGTACAGGGTAACCTGAGAGATCCTCAGACTGACGATGCCTTCAGCAAAGAGGAGAGTCCTCCCCCAGCCCCGCAGACAGGGCACTTGGCCCTGTAGCGCTCTGTGAGGTCAGGGGCACTTTCAATTTCAGAAGAAACCGTGAGGAAGGAGCAGTTTAAACTGGCTTTCCTCTGGAGGAAATGTCTTGGTGGTGGCAGGGCAGGGGGATTACACATATGCTATCTGGCAATGCCTTCTGCAGTGTGGTGTTTTTCCCCCTTTCTGAAAGGGCCGAGTATCAGCCATCTCCCAGATGCAAATGCGTATTTTTGGAAAGCATCTGGAGTGGGGTGGATTTACTCAGTGTGCAGCCACAGCAGCTGATTCAGCTACTCCCACCTCCCCAAATGTTGCTAGTCCTACAAGCAAAGTGTGGGACCCCAGACGTCCGGGAGGTTTGGTTCCACTGACGTTCCTTTTGACGTCTGCAGCTTTCTCCTCCAACTCCCGTCAGCCTCAGCCAGAGCAGGATCAAGAAATCCCTGCTCTCACTCCCGCTTGGCCATGCTTTCGGGCCAGTCAGTGTCTCTCAGCTAAACCTTCCTTGCAGGGTTGTGTTGAGGACCACCATGGAGTGGAGGAAGGTCTTGTAAGCGTTCTTGAGTCTCGTGCAAGTGGAAAAGGGTGGGATATGAACGTAAGAACATCTGAACTGGATTTTAAAACTCAGGTTTGCTGGAGTTGTAGACCAGCTGCTGCTGGAGGTATACAGTCCCTTGACCCCTGTCCTAATTCCCGGCTGGCTGTTTTTCGAGACTGTCATAAGAATTAGCACTGTTATCAAGAAGACGTTGATTGTAACCCACGCTGTAGCCAACATAACTTTCATGGTCTTGCTGGGTCTTTGAGCAGGTTTATTCCCCACTCGGGCTGTGTCAGGTTTTGGCTTGGTTTCAGAGCATCTGGGAAACCTCTCCTTGACTTCACTTTTGTTTTTGTGTTTCTCTTGGTTCTCGCTTCTTTCCCCCTCCGCACTCGGCTAGCAATCGAACAAGCTTTATCTCTCCAGAAAGAGACGGCATTAATTCGGCGAGAGTCTTTGCCAGTTCAATTTCCGGAGCGGAGGAAGCAACTTACATTCAAATGGTAATCATCTTCGTGCAGCTCTTCTCCACACTCCTTTTGACAAACAGTGCGAACGGAAAAGCTCAGGGAAGTCCATTTTTTAAGCAAAACATGCTTAAAACAGAGCCTCCCCTTTGCCCTACTAAAAAAATGCAGGGGGAAAACACAAGGCCCAATTGACACAGTGCAAAGGGGCAGCCTTTTTCTCCTGTGTGACAGTGTGCTGTTGTTCACGCAAGTGTGGGTGGCATCACTCCAGAGGATCACAATGGCCAAGCGCCGGTCTCTACGTGGGAATTTGGATTGCCAACGGGAGGTGCCCGGCCACTCGGAGTGGGGGCCTCAGTGGAATCCGTGGGGGACACCCCAAACAGTGGGGCGCTGGAGAGGGGTGGTGAGCCCGTGGTCCAGCTCCTGGTTTGCGTGTGTCAGAGTCTCTTTGCTAATGGCGAGAACGAATTACCAGGACTTACAGGGAAGACTGAATTGCCTTGAACCCGTGTTTTCATTGTGAGATCACCCAGGGTGCCTGCAGTTATAAGTCATCTCGACCATTTTAGGTCCTGGTTTCTCTCTCAGAAATAGCATTGTTAATGTTCCTTTATTCTCGGGAGGAAAAACCATGGCGTGCCACATGGGAGTGGACTAGAACAAGGCCTGACACTCTTCAGTGCTTTATCGCCTCCTTCTGTTCTCTTTTTGTTTGCCCCTTTAGATCACAAGCCTGCAAAGTGCATCTGTATTTTTTTTACATTTTTCGGTTCATGCTCCTTGGTGCTATTATTTTAATTGTTGTCATTGTCAATGTCATCGACAGGACCACCAGCAAGCAACTTCCCCATATAATGGAGCATTCCAATGGCCAAAGAAGTTTAGCCTTGATTACCTAGCACTGGATTTTAATTCCGCCTCTCCATCTCCTGTACAAAAGGTAGGTCTTTCATGGGAAAGGGGAACAAATTCACTTGGTTGACATTTTAATGTGAACCAACCTAATTTGCTCTTCACAAACGAACATACAAACAGGAATGCAATAATCCTTTATTGTTTGCATTTCTCTGGATTTTGCAATACAGTTCTCCAAACAAGAAATGCAAAGACAAATGTGTACATTCAGAAAATTTGCAGAAATTGTTGAGGCACGTAGCTCTTATTGTCAGCAACTAAGCCTTAAGACAGTTCAGCCTTTTAGACTGGGGGGAGATGCACAAAAGCCAGGAAAGTACCAAAGGATCAGTGCTTGGTGGAGAAGGCCTGGGGCTGGGGCAGGTGAAGGTGATGTGACCCAACCAGGGATGAACAAGGGGCAGATTTGGCGGCCTGACCTGTGTGGAGGTACCCCTGCTCCTGTTTCTGGGAAAATGGTATTTCAGGGGAAATTGCATATGAAAAGCACGTGAATTTTCATGCAGGCTTGACAGAAAATCCCCAAACTGATGTGGAGATGGAGATGTAAAAAATGCTCCTTCAAAATGGGAAAAAATGTAGAAATTGAAACAGCCCTCCTGGGTCTTGCAAGATCTGGTGCAGCAAACAGCTTGCCTTCCCCGTTTGTTTGCGTATGGAAGGCTTTCTTTTGATGAATCTCCTGGGCGTTAAAATTCACTGTGTCCTTGCCCCCTGGAGGGACTGGCACAGACAAACACGTTTCCCTTCACCTAGAGCCAAATACATCTCTGCACTGCCTTTTCATCTGCCTCTGCAGCCAGTTCTGGGCTGGGTGACAAGGTAGCAGATGGGGAATCAAGCCTTAAACTGAGAGAAGAGCAAAGGACACTTTGGTCTGCTGATGTCACCGTTCGCTTCCAGGTGAAAAGAGAAACATCAGCTGAAGGGGCAGAGGAGGGGGAATGAACCTAGGTTTATCTTCATGAATAGAATCTTGTTTTACTTTAATGCTTGTCTTCCTTTTGGTAGAAGCCTTTTTTCTCTGAAGAACAACGAGTGGATTATGTCCAGGTAGATGAGCAAAGAACTCAAGCTCTCCAGAACACTAAGCAGGAGTGGACAGATGAAAGGCAGTCCAAAGTCTGAAGCGGGAGACGGCTTTTCTTGGTTAGCTTGATTTTGCACATTGAAATCCAGGTTGTCTGAGTGATCCAGCGGAGATGGTGAGCAGGTGGCGTGGAAGAGCGTGGTGGTCCACCACTTTTCCTGAGAGAATGCCTTTTGGCCGGGTTGGTGAGAAAGGACCGACCTGAAAGGACCGTATCAAAATGACCCCATCACTGCCATTGCCTCCGTCACCCCTTCCAATGAAGAATACATGGTACCATCTTAGGACCTGAACTTGGGGTGGACACTTGCTGTGTCACATGAAACACTGTACTTCCTGTTGTCGGTTGTGTTTTCATCTTCCCTATTTAACGGATGTCGCATCCACTGTGGCATCTGGTTCTGACAGGTATTTGGGAATAAGGGCTGACCATTCAACAATGGATAAAGTAACTTTTGTGGGAGGGAGGTGTGGAGGGTAGGATGTTCCTTGATCGGAAATAATTGGGGTCCGTGGATTATGCTAGAGGGTTAATAGGAAACCATTGCAATGGTCATTACCACCCCTCACCTTGGATCATCAGAATCACAGGCTGCACCTGTCACCAAGCTCCTTCTTCTGTAACTGGTCCTTCTTTGTGGTCTCTGTGAATCACACGTACGGACTCTGCTCCTGGCCCAGGACTGTTGTTGGGAAGATTCTCCAAGCTAGACTCATTCCAGCAGGAACCCATCCTTTTCCTTGGAGGCGCTTCTGCCATTTTCCCCAGTTCTCTCTGTTCCTTTTTCAGTGGCCAGTTACTCGCGAGTTGGCTCATTCTTTTCCTCTGCTGCAAGGAGTGACTTCAGTGTAAAGAAGTTCTCCCGTGCATCTGCTGCCTCCCCAGTCTTTGCATCCCAAGGAAACCCAGGGAAGCTGCAAAGCCTTTTTGCAAGCCTTGGCATGGTTGGCCAAGGGTCAAGAGGATGCTGTCACCATCTGGAGGAATGACCACCCAGTTTTTCTTTCCCAGTGGACAAGATCATGCAGATTTGTGACCCGTGGAGATTGTGTTCTTCCAAGCATGGCATGATTATCGCTAGGAAATTACTGGAACAAGCCTGACAACGACAAGCCTTTTAGCACTAAGATATTTTATTTCACATTTAGCCTTCTTTTAATAAAATAAATGAGGATGTGACCTCTCCAGTGTTTTGCTGAGGGCAGCTGTTCTGCGGCGATGGCTCTGGGTTTCGTGGCACAGGATCGTAACCTTGGCCTCAGCAGCCCCTCTTTTCAAAGTGAAGCTGTTGACTTGGCTTTCTGAATTGGGAGCAGGGAGCACTTCTTATGTATCAAACTGGGTTTCAGCCTGTCGCCAAGCTGCTATAACCCAGACAGAGGGGCAAGGAGCACCTTCGCGTCTCTCATGGATGCCTTCCAGCATTAGCTTTAAGACCCCCTGAGGCCATCTGCTCCACAGCTGAACCGTTTCCACTGATAGGAAAGTTCACTTAATGTTAAGCTGAAATTTAGAAATTAATAGCCACCCTGTATGTGAAGGGGGATTGCAACGGCCCATTCAAGAACAAGCCATCTCCAAAAGCTTGGCATTGCAACAGGGAACTGTATATTGTTGGGAGAGGAATTAATTTTTCCTCTGCTAGTGTGGGGAACGGGGAATTCTGAGTTGCATAACAGGCAACAGCAGCTTCCCTGTTAGTAGAACAGGCTGTCCTCAGGCCTTCTTGAGTCCTGGCTCCACCGTGCCAGTGCAGAAACTGCTTTTCCCCATGCGGAGCTGCAGTGTTTTTCATTGCAGCACCAGGACTGCCCAGACGGAGACCTCGGGGCACCTGTGGCAGAGACAGACATCTTTGTTTTCCTCTTCAAGCTGGCAGCAGGGAACTTTTCTCCATTTCCCCAGAGAGAGCAAGCCATGCACTTACTGTGACCTGGGGCAGATGTTTATTATTTTCTTTAAGTTCTTCTCGATGCCCTTCGAGATCAAACTACAGGGCACTGCACACAGCGCATCAAAGCGACAACGGCAACTGTGCAAAGAAAAAACGGCAACCAAGGGAGACATCGGTTTCGGCAAATGTGTGGGTCCATCAGTGAGTTACCTGTGAGGCTTCAAGGGTGGTGCCTATCAAACAGCGGGGTGCAAAATCGCCAGGGTGGTGAACCCACAGAAAAGTTTCTCCCTGCAGCTGCCGTCAGATTTGCCTGTGGGTGCACTGGGGCAACCTGATGGACCAGAGCGGAACGTCTCGGTGGATGGGCAGGTTGATACATGAGACGTGCTTCCTGCTTCCGAGACGTTTCGGCCGTACATACAAGTGACATCACCCTGCATTCAGCCCAGTAACAGACTTGGCAGGCAGTGCCTTTCTCTGAGCAAAGATGCGGAATGTGAATGGCTCCTCTGGCAGCCTAGAGGTGGAATTCCATGCTAGCCGTCGTTCCTGAAGGGAAGACTCACGGAGCAATCTCTTCTCGAGCGTATGGCTGCATGCATCACTCTGGCCAAACTGTCCCTGTCTCAGAGCATCCGCCCCTTCCGTACCAACCACAGCCGGCCGAAGGTCAGATACGGTGTGCTCACGTGCCTTACAAGGAGCCATGCATGTGTGGGACAGGAACCGAGAGCTGTGATGGGGCAGCCTCTGGCTTCCAGGGAGTCCTGGGGGAAGCAGGGGAGTCTCCTCTTCCCTGCCGGGCAACTGCCCTGCTCTCAGAGCTGCGGCTGAGGAGCAAAGTGACCAGCAGGCTTTGGAGCAGCAAAGCTGAGCTGCTCCTTCTGTCTGATGCTGCCATCTGTTGTGTGAGTCATGGAAAAAAGGCTGGCTGGAGCAGCTGCACTTGCGGAAATGCTTTTAGGGGAAAGGTGAATGAATGACTGGCCGGCCGACTGACCCAAGAAATTAGGCTTCTCTTTTGCTTTTAAAGCATTTTCTCCTTTAACATGTTCCCACACCCCTTGACGTCACCTCTCCTGGGTTAAGGTGGACACATGCTCACTTGCACCCTTGTTTACATCCAACAAATGTGCTCATGGGCATAACGGTTTAGAAACATTGACTATGAGTCAGCTGGAAGACAATACCAGTACTCGGGTCTGGAGCTGGCGTGAGTGGGCCGAAGGGCTGCATTGCCTCGCAGCAGCTTTCCCCAACGTGGTGTACCTAGGCTGGAAGCCCGATCCAGCAGGTTTTCCTCCAAAGCAGCGATGCAGGAGGAAGCGTCCATTGCTGGATCTGGCACCCCTCAATCAGCCCAAAGGCCAAATCCAACTTCTGAGAGGCGCTTGGAGGCTGCGTTGGAAGGTTTTCCCATCTGTTGAAATCCTGCAGGGAAAGGCGTGGAAGTTGAGAAGCCACTGAGCAATCGGTGGAAGTGGAATCCGAGGGGACCAGCCCAGGACCCTGGGTGGGCCCCACTTGGTCGCAGGGGCCGAGGTCCAGCACCCTGCCTTAAAAGTTGTGTGCAGAAGGCTAAGCTTGGCTAGCTGGGCAAAAGCTAACATTGGCGGGTTGAAATGCGAGGATAACCCACCCAGGCAAGAAACCCCAGCGCATAGGTTGTTTCGCAAGCAGCCCAAGCAGTGCCCGACAGGCATCTGGGCTCTCCATGGGCCACCCTCTCCCTTCAGTCCTCTAGGCCATGTCTCAGGCCACCTCGCCTCCTCTCTCCACCATAAGAAGGAGCCATTTCCTGACACCCAGTTATAGTCACTCCAAAGTGCCCAAGTGGCACATGGGAGGGGCTGTGCTTCACTGGATGACCACCTTTTAAAATGGGCCACTCACAGACTTTCAGCCTAACCTACCTCACAGGGTTGTTGTGAGGATAACATGGAGAAGAGGAGGAGGAGGATTATGTAAATTGCCTTGGACTCCTTGCAGGAAAACTTATAAATATAGTAAATAAATACACATGCACACATTGCTCAGAATTTTTTTTTGTTCAACTTGTGCAAGTGTTGCTTACTCTGACTGGCAGCAACCCCCAAAGGCACCAGGGGAAAGGGATCTTTGCGGATGCCCGTGTGTGTGTGTGCGCGCGTGCATGCATATGTATGTATTGATTTATTTTTAAACATTGCTGAAGTGCTTGAGCAGAAATACTGGGGCTGCATGGCAATAAATGGGTGTCTGGATGTCTCGGGGTGGGGAGGGGAGGGGAGGGCCTGAGATTCGGGAAGAGCGAACGACGTGCCATGACATGACCTCCATGATGTGGCTTAGGATGTCTGCCTAGGCTGGGGCAGCAGCCAGCCCTAGGCACACTGAATCTGACCTCTGGTCAAGGAAGCAAAGCCTGGCCTGAGGAGTTCGGTCTGCTGGAGATGGGAGAACGTGCTGATCGAGGCCTCCGTGTGCTCATCCTCGCTGCCTGAGATGAGGGCCAGAATGCGCGTTCCGTTCTGTTCCATGCAGGTCAGGCCAAGCCAACGGCTGCTGATCCAGCGTTCTCCTTTTAGCTGCCCTGCCCTCTCTCCCCCTTCCCTAACACCATGCCTCTCTTTTGCTGGACCAAAAAAAGGAAGGGCAATTTCCTCCCTGGAGCTCAGGATAAAAAGCGACCGCTGGCACTGTGAGCTGTGGCTTCGTTGCTAATCCTGCGGGCAGGGGGCACAGCAAGTGAAGTCCTGGAGAGATGCCAGTGAAATAGGGGGCAGAACCTTTTCCAGTTTTGGAGAAGCTCTTGGGGTGTAATGTGCTGTGAGCCAGGTTGCTGAGGACTGAGTGGGGGGGGGGGGATGGAAAATCAAGGGGAGAGGCGGAAGGAAGGGAGAGAGGGCATCCTGAAATGCGGAATTCCCCATGGTGCACCTCTGCGGCCATATCTTGTGGGGCGACATCGCTTTCTAACAGGGCCAGGACAAAAAGTACCACGATCCCCAAAATTCTACAATGGTATAATGGAGCTGAAGCAGCCCTCTGCATCCTTGTGCTCTCCAGACTACAGTTCCCATCAGCCTCAGCTAGCAGAGCTATATTCCAGGCATTTTCCTAGAGGTCTGGCATTAGTTCATTTGTCTGGGCTTGCTTTTGTTTAAAGCAGGTTGCTAGCCCTTTTCCCCGGGGAGATAGGAGGGGAAGAGTTCAGGCTGCATGTCTTTGGCCAAAAAAAAAGAAATAACATGATCTGCTTTATGTTGATACGGCCTGAATTAAGATGCAGGCTGCTCCTGGATTGTCCATGACTGAGGGTGGGAGACGGTGCTGGCTCCAGAGTCTGGAAGGTGCTTCGGCAGGACTTCGTTAGACTCCCCGCTTCTCACCAGCTGCTCCTGCTCTTTCTTGGCATTGCTGCCACCCGCTTGCTTTTGCCAGACGGACAGAGAACAAGCAGGACGCAGCATCTCCTGCTCACCTCCCAGACTGCTGTCTGGGCCAGAGGCATGTGCAACAAGGGAGGAGGAAGCCCAGGGTGGTCCTGGCGATGGCACCTGCCCAGCAATGCACACGCTCGAGGAGGACTTGGACGCTCTTGAACAGCAGTTCTCGTTCCAGTCAAAACGTGGCAAGACTTGGTAGCTGCCATGTCAGCGGCATCTCAGCTGCGCTGTGCCCTTCGGGGTGAGGATTCATGCAGACGCAGCAACGGACAGGAGTCCGTCCCCCAGCCAAGCCGAGGCGTTCTCAGTGGACGTCTGTTCCAGTCACCGGTTTAGCAATAGAATTGCCCAATCGCTTCCTGATGTGATATTCATTTCCTTTTTCCTGGTAGAGAAAGCAAAAGGCCAGATCTCTGACTGGCCTATGAGCAAGTTAACCTTGGAAAGGAGCAGTTCAGCAGAATGCTTGTGAAGTACTTCGCACCTGGAAAACAAAGGAACTGAGGAGATGCTCCTTGGGACAGATGTTGGCAGCCTAGTGACCCCATTTCGTGTTCCTCACTTGGAGGGACGAACTCTGGGATGGCGCTGTCAGGCCTTCCCTTTATCCCCTCCCCTGCGCCTCTTGCCCCACCTGTACGCATTAGAGTGGAAATTGCAACCACATATGAATCACCCTGAAGAGACGGCAAACGGGCTTCCGATTTGCAGACATTTGTGCATATAATGTACATATGACAAGTGTTAGAGTTTAAATAGACAAAGCCACACCGTGAATAGCCAGGTCACCTGGCCGGATGATAGCTCAGTGGTAGAACCTTGCATGCTGAGGGCCTCCAGTTTGAAGCTCTCCC